CTGCAGCAAATGCAGCAGAAGTTGCTGCTGCTGCTGCTGCTGCTGCTGCTGCTGCTGCTGCCCGCCTCCCCCGCTTTCGACGAGGCAGCAGCAGTGCTGCAGTCTGTACAGACACCCCAGCTTGCTGCTCAAGTGCTCAAAGCCGACACCGACTGGCCACAGCTAGCTAGCTAGCTAGCTAGCTAGCTAGCCAGTTAGCTAGCTAGCTAGCTAGCCAACCAGCTAAGTAGCTCCTTAGCCAGTCAGTTGGTTAGGTAGCTAGCTAGGTAGCTAGCTAGGTGGTTACGTGGCTAGCTATCTACCTCAACTAGCCAGTTGGCTACTCAAGCAGCTAGTTGACTAGCTAGCTAGCTAGCTAGCTAGCTAGCTAGCTAGCTCTTGTAGCTAGTAAGCTCCCTCTGAACAGCTGTGAGCTTTATCGACTCAGCCTGCGGGCTGCTCTCTTGCTAGCTAGCTGAAGGGCTACTTAGCTAGCTAGCTAAAGATCTAGCTAGCCAGCCGGAGAGCTAGCTAGCTACAGAACTAGCTAGCCAGTTAAACAGCTAGCTAGCTAAACGCTAGCTAGCCAGCTGAAGAGCTAGCTTGGTGAAAGCTAGCCAGCTGAAATGCCAGCCAGCCAGCTAGCTGGCCAGGGCTATGTAGTCAGATTCAGGAAGCTCCGGCTGTGGCCACTCACGCAGCTAGCTAGCTAAACAGCTAGCTAGCTGTTTAACTAGCTAGCTGCTAAACAGCTAGTTAGCTAAACAGCTAGCTAGCTAAACAGCTAGCTAACACGTCGGCCCAAGATGCGGCGCCGGCTCCCCCCCAGCGCGGAGATTCACCCCCGCACCCAGCATGTCAGCGAGAGCCAGCTAGCTAGATAGCTAGATAGCTAGCTAGCTAGCTAGTTAACTAGCTAGCTAGCTAGCTAGCTGGCCGGTTCCATGGGGAACTGGGGGCTATCTAGCCAGCTAGCTCGCCGTCCCACTCCCAGCCAGCCTTGTCCGCATGGCTAGCTGGCTAGCCAAGCTAGCTGGCCAGATGTGCGGCTACCTAGCCAGCCAGCCAACGACACTCCTGGAAGGATAGCTAGCTACCCAACTAGCTAGCTAGCTAACTAGCTAGCTAGCCAACTGGATGCCGGGCCAACCAGCTAGCCATCCCGTTTCGCGTTCCACTGTCCAGCTAGCTGGATGTGCACTCACAAGCTACCCAACTGGCAAGCTAGCTAGCTAGCTAGCTAGCCAGCCCACTACACAGCTAGCTAGCTAAGACTCGCTTTGGACTACCTGCATGGCTAGCTAGCCAGGACTACTGGGCATCTATCTAGCTGGCACTCCCTAGGTCTCGGCTAGCCAGTCTAATGGCCGGTAGCTAGCTAACTACTACTACTTGGCTAGCTAGCTAGCTAGCTAGCTAGTGGCTAGCTAGCTAGCTAGCTGTGGGCAGCAGCGGGGAGGGCGTCTGGAAGACCTTAGAGAAAAGAGTCTGGAAAGATACCTGAGGCGCGTTGGCTGCGCCGAGGCCTCAGAGCTGCCAACGTAACAAATGACACAACGCTGCGGTGCAGGCGCTGCTGCTGCTGCTGCTGCTGCTGCTGCTGCTGCTGCTGCAGCAGCAGCTGCAGCAGCAGCTGCTGCTGCTGCCTGCGCTACATAGACCTGCTTCTCGCCCCTGCTGCTCTCCCGCTGCCTGTGGAACTCCCTCGCCCGTGCTCCGCTGCGCTAGCCGCCGCGGTTGCTGCTGTTGCTGCTGCTGCAGCGGCGCCGCACCGCCGCCGCTGCCGCTGCTGCTGCTGCTGCTGCTGCTGCTGCTGCAGCAGGAGCGCTACCAGAAGAAGCCGGAGGGCTGCTGGCTGCTGGCTGGGGGCGCCCCGTAGCTGCTGGGCTGCTGCTGCTGCCCGTAAGCAGCAGCAGGGGCCCCGTAGCCGAGAGACCTTGCTGCTGCTGCTCCCTGGTAGCCCCGCAAGAAGCTGCTGTAGGCCTGGGCCAGCTTCTCCTGCGTGTGGGGTATGCTGCGCAGCAGCGAGTCTTTGCTGCTCTCCACCAAAATGAGGCTTCTTGCTGCAGCAACTCGGGCCCCCTCCAGCAGCGCCTCAAGAGCCAGTTTGCTGCTTCTTAAGAGGCACTCAGCCCCCTGCTTCCCGGCCTCCAAACTCTGCTCCAAGTCCTGCTTCTCCAGCTGCAGCAGCCCGCAGCAGCTGCTGCTGCTGCTGCTGCTGCTGCTGCTGCTGCTGGGGAGCCGGCCCTCCGCCGCGCAGCGGGCCAGCTGCTCCGCCCCCACCCGCAAGCAGCAAGCCAACTTGCCCGCAACAAAACTCAACTGCTGCACAAAACCCTCCAACTCGCGGGCCCCTTCTTGCAGTTTGCTGCAGCAGCAGCTCCAGGCAGTGCCTGGGGCCTGGCGGGGGGCCCTCTCGCCTTCGGCCGGGAGGTCTGCTGCGGCCACAGCGCCCACCACCCCGCCCACGAGCCCGCTGAACAAGTCTGCCATTTTGCTGCTGCTGCTGCTGCTGCTGCTGCTGCTGCTGCTGGGCGAAAAAATTGAGGGAGGGCGAGAGAGAGAGAGAGAGAGGTGAGTAGGAGAGAGAGAGAGAGAAGTTGGTAGTAGTAGAAAGACAAACCGGAATCTTCTGCTGAGGGCTGCTGCTGCTGCTGCTGCTGAGATGCGAGCTGCTCTTGCTGCAGCGCGAGGGGAAGCAGCAGCAGCAGCAGCAGCAGCGGCACACGCCGCCACGACGACGCGGCGCCCGACGCCACTCCACGACGCCCCGGACACCCGCCCGCCGCCTCCGCTGCTGCTGCGCCGCTGCTGCTGCTGCTGCTGCTGCTGCTGCAGCAAAAACCCCCAATTACTGCAGCAAACCCGCCCGCAAAACCCCAAATGCACTTTCCACTTCTTTCCCACTAACGCAGACGCAAAAGCAACCCCGACGCACCCCCGCTGCTGCTGCCCACTGGAACCCGCGGCTCGCCGAGACGCAGCAGCAGCAGCAGCAGCAGCAGCAGCAGCAGCAGCGCTCGAAACGCACTCGCAGACACCGGCTCCGCGCTGCTTTGCTGCTTTTCGGAAACTCCATTTCTTTTCCCAAACAAAGAAACCCAAAAACCCTCCAAACTCCCCAAAATGCCCAGAGACGCGACACACAGGCGATCCGCCCGCTGCTGCTGCGCGCTGCTGCTGCTGCAGCAGCAGCAGCAGCGCGCCACCAGCTACGCTTTTGCTGCTCAAAAGCCCACAATTTAGCCACTTTATTTCCTCTATTTTAGTTAGACACTATAGACAAACGCGAAGGCAGAAGCAGCACACGCAGCCTTCTCCCTTGCTGCCGCTACGCGCTTCCCGCTGCTGCTGCCAGCACACGCAGCAGCAGCAGCAGCAGCAGCAGCAGCAGCGAAACTGACAAGAGGAAGCACACAAGTTAGAGCGCCTGCTTCTGAAACTCCACTAATTAGCAGCAGAATAACTTTATTTCAACTCCGGGATAAAGCAGCAGCGAGGCCGTCAATGCGCAGCAGCACCACGTCTGCAAACGAGACAGCAGCAGCAGCAGCAGCAACAGCAGCAGCAGCAGCAGCAGCAGCGAGAGCACTTTGGTGGGCACGCGCTGCCGCTGTCTTTGTGTGTGTGCTGCACAAGACGCAAGAAGACTCTCTTCGCCACCTAGACTTTGCTGCTGACTCTTGCTGCATACACACAGCTTCGCTGCTGCTGCTGCTGCTGCTGCTGCTGCTGCTGCAGCACGGCGGGGCCCCCCAGGGCCCCCGGAGGCGCACACGCGCAGCAGCTCCCGCGCTGCCTGCTGCAGCTGCTGTTTTATTTCAAAGTCCCTTTTTATGCAGCTTCTTCTTGCTGCCTCGTCCTCTGGCGGGGCGACATGAGCAGCAGCAGCAGCAGCAGCAGCAGCAGCAGCAACGATGCAGCGCCGCCCATGACTTCCGGCAGCTCTGTCCCTGCTGCTGCAGCAGCAGCAGCAGGGGGCGCGTGGGGCCCCTTCGGCGGTTTGCGCGGCGCTGCAGCAGCAGCCCCGGGTGGCGTCGCCGGGGCCCCTGCCGCTGCTGCAGCAGCAGCAGCAGCAGCAGCAGCAGCAGCAGACGCAGCAGCAGCTGCTGCTGACGTCACCGCCTCTCCACCGCCCCCCAGCGGCTCCCCTGCCAGCGCGTCAGTGTCGCCCCATTGGGGCGTAGCCCCCGCTTGGGGGCCCCCCGGGGGGGGCCCCCCGGGGGCCCCCCCCGGGGGGCCCCCCTGGGGCCCCCCCTGGGGCCCCTCCTGGGGGCCCCCCTGGGGCCCCTCCTGGGGGCCCCCCCCAGGGGGGCCCCCCGCGTGGGGGGGGGGCCCCCCGGGGGGCCCCCAGGGCCTGGAGGGGGCCCAAGTGGCGTACGAAAGCGAAGTGGCGTTGGTGCATTTTATAGTTTATTTGGTTTGCTGCATTGGATGTCTTTGCATTTATTTGAATTATGTTGTTTTGGAAAGTTATATTTTTGCATTGTTTTGGGCTTTGGTGTTTTCGATTCCGCTGCGCGCAGTCGTTGCTGCTGTGCTGGGCGAGCCGGGCCAGCGCTCGCCTGCTGCTGCTGCTGCTGCTGCTGCAGCAGACGCAGCAGCAGCAGCAGCTGCTGCTGCTGCTGGCGCGCCAGGCAAGCAGCAGCAGCAGCAGCAGCTCAAACGCGCCAACCAGCTCCACGAACAGCCCGCGCCGCCGCTCGCCAATGACCTCAGCAGCAAACTCCTCAACCAGCAGCAGCAGCAGCAGCAGCAACGCCTGCAGCAGCAGCAACAGCTCCAGCAGCAGCAGCAGCAGCAGCTCGTGCTGCTGCACTCCCCACGCGGCCTCCACAGCAGCAGAGGGGCCCCTCCCGCAGCCGCAGACTCTGCGCGCGGGGCCGGCCAGAAACCCCCAGAGGAAGCAGCAGCAGCAGCAGCAGCAGCAGCAGCAGCAAAGAAGAGAGCCATAAGGCTCAAGTGGTCTCGAGAGGCAGCAGCAAAGCAGCAACAGCAGCAGCAGCAGCAGCTGATGCTGCTGACGGATGTGGGGCCGTCTGCAGGCAGCAGCAATGCTGCGGATGCGGCAGCAGCAGCTGCGGGGGAACCTCCAGATGGAAATGGAGCAGCAGCAGCAGGTGCTGCTGCTGCTGCTGCTGCTGCTGCTGCTGCTGACTCTGCTGCGCTGCGGCAGGGCGTGCCTGCTGCTGAGGCTGGGCAGCCTGAGGCGTCTGTACACCGCAGCAAGAAGCGGCGGCAGCAGCAAGAAGAAGAGCTGCTGCTGCAGCCCGCCGAAAGCACTCCTCCCAGCAGCAGCAGCAGCAGCAGCAGCAGCAGCAGCAGCAGCAGCAGCAGCAGCAAGGGGCGGTGGCGGGGCTCGTGGGTGCTGCAGTGCGTGAAGCAGCGGCTGCAGGGCGTGCTGCAGTTCGTGCTGCAGTCGCTGTCTGTGCGGCTAGCTGTTGCTGCTGTGCTGCTGCTGCTGCAGCCGCTGCAGCAGCTAGCTGGTGCTGCTTCGCAGCGGCTCCCCAGCAAACCCTGGTTTGGGCTTTTGCACCGCTGCTGTTTGCTGCTGCTGCTGCAGCGGCTCTTTTTTGCTTCCTTCACGCTGCAGGAGCTGCTGCACGCGGTGGGCGCGCTGCTGCTGCTGCTGCTGCTGCTGGAGCTGCTGCTGCTGCCCCTCAGGGGCAGCAGCAGCAAGTGGAGGGCTCTTATCCTGTAAGCAGCAGCGCAGCAAAACATTAGAAGTCAAAAGCAGCAAAATAAATATTAATAAAATAAATAAATAGAATTAATAATTATAAAAATAAACAAAAGTAACAAATGCTTATTGCAGCAAAAAGAGAAGCAGCAAAAGTAATTCCTTCGCGCTCCGAAACAAGCACCAATCAACCGCTTCGTGCTGCTGCTGCTGCTGCTGCTGCTGCTGCTGCTGCCTTTGTTGCTGCTGCCTCTGCTTTCCCGTCCCGCGATTGCTGCTGCTGCTGCTTGCTGCACCTGTCCCCCTCCCGCTGCTGCTCCCCCCTCCCCCCCGCCGCCGCCGCCGCTGCTGCTGCTGCTG